TGTGCAATGTCGATCACAGTGTGATTCGTGTAACATTGGACGGTTCCCCCTGTTCTGTAATTGACAGCACGCATAACCTGTCACACATTCCGGTCTTGCAACATAATCGTGAAATTCATGTGACTTAAAGGACTCAGAAAAATGATCTGCAAAATTCTTCGCACTGAATTATTTTAACAAATTGAAAGGCAGAAATGTCCAATATTATAACATGACGACCCTGAACTTATTACGTGAAGATAATTTACAAAACTGTGTTAGCCCAATTGCTAACACTGGTTTTGACTGTTTTCGACATATACAATAGTGGTAGTAAGCTTACAAGACATAATAATTATAGTAGACAATGAAATTTTGCTTCCAAGTTTTCGCACTTTCGCTTTTACGGCTAATTTTTATTTCAGTATTTGTGAAACGGTATGTTTTTAAAAAGTATATACTTTAAAGTGTATAAATAAGTTACCCGGGCAATTTAATTAAAAAAAAACCGGTTCTAAACTCTAATCACGTGAAAGATTACATGTGTAAATAATTTAAACTCCGCATGTACGCGAAGAAATTAGTACTTCACAAGCAGCAAAAAATGTTCAGTGGTTAAAAATGGAGGAAGAAAAATTTAACGCAAGAGAATCTCAATCTACGTTTAATCCTACAGCAGCTACACAGCCAACTGCCCACGATGTTGTTATGGAAGAGGCTGTTATTAGCGAAAAAGATAGCAAGACGATAACGGATTCCGCAGTTGCCGTGAATGAAGTGAATGAGGTGAATGATCAGAGAATAGTTGAAGAATTTCAATACCTTTTAGAGAAGAGTCAACAACTATTCGCAGGCTTGAGGTAAGAAAAATCTTGACAAAGAAATTTCCTTATTATATTTTGAGTGAAATCTCAGATAAGTACAGGGATCTTCCACCAACTGGTGGTCGCCAGTGGCAACCATATTTTCAACGGACTTTTGAAGTTTATACCAAGGTATATAATGAATTGAATATATGTTCCATTTTATTTCGTTTTATTCTTTTATTTTTATTACAATGAAACGCGTATTTACGGATATTCCGATAACATCAGCTATGGAAGTTCCAGCAACAGAATAGGTGACAATTTACTATTTTCTCAATAAAGTTTATTTATTTGTTTAATCCTTAATTTGCATACAACAATCCATTTAATACGTTCAATCTTAGATTTGTGCTAGAAAATAAAAATAATTATGGTCTTAAACGATGGGAGGTTGGCGAAATTGCATCAAAGATTGGTCAACTTTATTACCATTACTAGTATGTTTTCATGTCCAATCTCTCTTTTAAATACAATAATAAAAATTAAACATGAAATTTTTGTAGTTTACGTACGAGTGAAACTAATTATCTTCACGAATCATACATATTCTATGAGGCTATTCGTGAACGTTCCTATTTCAAAGACGTTCTTGATGTTAAAAAGTTTGTTGAAAATTTATAATAATGTTATTATTTAAACTTATTTAATGGCATCTTACTAATTTACTTCATTTTTAGTCCTGCTCTAATTATCAAAAAATTAAGATATTATGCCCGATTTATTGTTGTGTGTCTGCTGTTGAACAAGAGGGATATCGTACAAAAGTTATTAGATGAATTAAATGTTCTTGTTGACGACTATATAAAAATATTTAAACCAATTGATTCGGCCGAATGGCACCAAGTCCTCACAGAAATTGATGCATTTTTGGAGGTATTGGTTTATAAATTTCTTGAATAAATTAGAAGACATTGTTATTCATGTCAAATTGGTTACTTAGGCTGAGAAGAAACTTACGCCTCGTTCTCTTGAAGGTAATTTCTTACCTATCGCGCGTCGTCTTCAAATGGAAAGAAGTCCTAGACTTGAAAAAGATGGGACACCCAAATTAAAACTTCAAGAAGCAATTTTAGTGGGAAATTATCAGAACCAAACAAAGTTCTCAGAACTCACGCTTGACATGTATCATATATTGCAATCCCTTGGTATTATTACATTAAGAATATTTTTAATGTTTCTAGCTGCTTTATGTATCATAAATGTTAAGCATATGTTACCGCATTATTTTAGAACGCGAACCAGCTCCTCCAAAGAGTACACAACCCAAAACACCAGGTGTTGAGAGTTCTGTGGGTAATGAAAGGATATTGGGCAAAGATGATACATCGACTGATGAACAATCAAGCATGAATACTCCGACGGACAAATCCGCATCAAGAAGAATAAATCCTCATAAGTATTTGTTGCATAGACCGACGTTCAGTCAATTAATGGTTTATATTTCTACAGCATTCAAGGTACTACCTATTTGGGATGCATTGTACTTTCTTACATCATTCGTTACTTATCACGGCTAATGCTATACAGGAAATTAATGAAAATTCCGCCTTATTACTGTATCTTTCGGCAGACGGTACTAAACGCGTAAATACTAATAGCGAACATAATTTTTCTAATGGTTCGAAAAATAAGTGATTCTTATGCTTAGGTGATTTTTTTTGTCACTATGCATTAAGAAGTTGAATAATTTATTATATGCAGGATATATGGGTGGAGTTGTGACAAATTCTCGCAAGCCTGCTGACAAAACTGACGGATCTGACAATAGTGGATTGATTAATTGTTTGCACCCAAATGATTTGGTACCATTTACCCGGAAACCCTTGTGCATTATAGTTGATAGTAATAATAGCACAGCTTTTGCGGTATGGCTTATCTCTTGTTCCTATCATATCAACTTTTACGCGTATTCATGACCTTTTTGATTTTGGTTAATGGTTTACAAGAATTTTCCCAAAGTCTTCAACCAACCATTTCTTTGTCTCATGTCTCCTGTTGAATATCCATCGTCCATTACTGGTATAATACCTTTGTTTACTATCGAATAGTTAAATTTAGGTTACTTTTATTAATTTAATCTATTTCACCCAATAACTAGATACACCTAAGATAGGCAGTCTTTTCACACTATTACTTCAACTACTAGTGTAGGGAATGAATACAATGATTCAACATGGGCTTCTATTGTAATTTGTCTCAGTTTGGCTAGTAAATTGGGTGAATCAAATAGGGTATAAGGCAATGATGGACATGATGAAGGAAAATGCTAAATGACAATATCAAGTACTTTAGTACATAATTTTCGGAATTTTATTCGATCTTATAAATTCTAAATGAATCTACCTTTTCATCTTGAAAACTTTTATGTGCTTTCAAAAGTGCGCTACATAAAACGAATCGTACAAGAAATTGTCGAAGGAAATCATCTTGTAAAAATCGTTTCAATGATTTATCTATAGGCCGATGTGCGAAACATTAGTTAATATATATAAA